CCTAACCAGGCTGACTGTGTTAGGATCACCCAAACCCATTTTGCTGCATTTTCTATTTTTATCTGTAAATAATAATAATAATAATCCCTTTTCATGATTGTAAGAAATCTCCCCTGAAAGCAGAATCCATTTTATGATTCCGACTATATCATAAGCTTGTTGTCTTTAACTTCAAATTGGGCTTCGTATCTGAGTCCTGCAGTTAATCGTTAACATTATTACAGGTAGACAACCAGTCAGTTACAAAATATAGACAGAACAAAGGCAATGACTGTGGAGCGTTGTACGTTCTTAAAGAGGGGCTGGGCTTTTTTTTTGGATGATGAAAACATTTGGACTGCAGCCCCCAAACACGTCTTGATCACACACAAGCACAATGTGCCTGAAGAACGATATGTACAAACAGACCCGGAGATAAGGTTGTCAATAGCCTTCTCAACACACACATGCCCACATGCGTTTATTTGTTTAGATATACATTCGAAACATTGTCTCCATGGAAACATGTGGAAGGCTAACGGATCTCTGCGTATGGGCGTCTTTGTTTATTTGGATTATCTCCCCTGCCCCAGAGTTATTACGAGTGTTACTGACAGATGAATGCTAATTGCTTCTTAATTAACGTGTCTATGGACGACTTACTAACAAACGCGACGTTACAGAGTGTCTGTGAAGTTACATCAAAAAGTCGTTACGATGGGAACAGCCTTTGATCATGCAACTGACAGATGTAATAGAGTTACCTCCCTTTATCACCTTCACAACAAAGCGTCTGTCTTGGTTTACATAAGGATAAAGTGATTATTCTATATGGTTTATATCAAATGTCTGCAGGAGCATCGTACATCTGTTCATGGGGGGAAATCTATTTTTCCAGACATCTTTTATTTTGAAACCGAGAGGTTGAATGAATCCGTCGGACCCTATACTGTTCATGAAGACAAAAAATTATTTTCTTGCGAGCGACTCAGGATAGATTGCGCAAGTGTTATATATGTTATATCCATGCTTAGTCATTTTTTTCGGTTTTGAATACGAGTCTAGATATCGTTATACATTGGATTTGAGGCTTTCACGTATCATCGGATCTTATGTCTTCGGACATCATACTTTTTCGGACGACCATGTTTATCGCGATTACATGCTCTAAAGCGGGAAGTATAGCATCACACAGCCATTGTGATTACTCAGATGATGGCTTGTTTTTGGGAGAAAGTTGTCTTTTTAAAGTGAATTAGATGTGTTACACTTGTCCATGTGATCAGAGAAGAAACTATGAATTTCCTTAAGCGTCCGAAAACCCATAACACGGTGATAGTATCGAGAAAATATTCACCTCTAAATTGAAAAATATATATGTACTTTTAGCAATGGCTAGGTTTTTCTTTTTAAGCTTGAAGAAGGCGTACTTGGGGGCTCAATATGCATGGCCTACATGGTCCAAATCTAGTATTCATCGTAACTCATTATTTCTGACAAGGTGTTAATCAGGATTAATACACATTCTCCGTTTATACGCATCAATGTGGCGGTTGTAGCTGTACGCATACCTAACGAGATCCGATCTTTACAGACATGTTTTGGGCATCCGACCAAAATCACGGAAATTGAGAAAAACAATACTTATTAAGTTTTCTAGTTCATTGGAAGCTAACTTATTGAAATATATAAACTGTATTTAATATAATTGGGAAAAACATCATTACAGATTTTGAAAACAACATCTCACGGGAACTGATAATGTTTTTCTAATGGCAGGGCTAAATTTCCATAAGCAATGTATATAATCGTTTTGAAATTATTTGTTTTACATATTAGTCAACCATATCACAGAAAAATGATTATAGAATTTATTTTTTATTGTTTTAATTAAGAGCTGAAATAAACACCATCGGTAAACAACGATACACGTGACCAGGAAACCAACAGGGCGCAAAGGGAGGGGCAATTTGCATCCATGCAAACAGCTGCCCCACCCAATACATGGCAACTCAGACAAGTATCCGTCACCACTAAGCACCAATAATCATTCGACTGAGTGTTAATTGTACACTTAATCACCCCAACCCCCCATAAAAGAAATTCAGACACATCAAAGATTTAAGACAGTTACCCTAATAATCCGTCTGACATCGAAGTAATAAAATTAAAAACACGCAATGATGCTGACCCTTTAACGAAACGTACACATGCACTTAATGATTATTGACGGAATGAGTTCACGGTTGGCGCTTAATTGAATCGTTCATTTGCCTCTTCACACCTTGCATGCTGCGCGTCCGCCATGATGAATAGGTACAAATGTTCTGTAAGTCAGTGATGTAAAAACGCGCCAATAGTACCACTGGACTTGTCTAAGAAACGAGGTTTAATGAGATTCAAATTGACCGTTTAGACTTAATTGTTTCAGAAAGGCTTTGCCATGTTATTATTGGAATATATGAAAACATCATAAAAACAGTTCAGCTTAAATATACATCTCTGCGGTGGTGTTAACAGTTAATTCTGTTTTAATTGAGTTCTAACATTTCAAAGTATATTGACATTTTTGTGACGAAAGCTATTACAATTTCACCATCATAACCCGAAGGGTAAATTATATTTCAAATTTGCATATAAGCATTTAAACGAGTTCTTAAATCTGTTGATATGGCTACCATGCTTGACTGATTGCTAATTCAATCAAATGTTGTTACTTATTATATTTAATATTGATAGCTAGTGCTTTTAAAGACTCAGTAAAAATGTCTAATGTTCATTTTGCCACAGTTGAACGAACGCAAAATTCTTAAAGCGTGCAATAACGATTAAATATAGTTATGAAACAAAAAGAAACAGATAAAATCGTTCAATTTGAATGTATATTTTAAAAGCGTTAAAATTTATTATGCACTACTTAATACCAAATATAAAAGTATTTTGCTAAATTTCCCATATTAGGACTGAGATCAAAGTTGTAAAAACATATTTTCAGAGTTCCTGATTAAGTCATAATTTTTATTTTATTCATACATTCATATACTAGTAACTATTAAAATTCGTTAATTGTAACGTGGTATGTATGATGAGTTTTGAACAATGACGCATTACTAAATGAATTACGAATCTAAGATATAAATTACATCATCAAATTATATAATTTTATAGTGTATCTTCAATATAACACAAAAGAAATACAGTTCCATTAACGTTTCCTTAATTGATGACATGAATAAATACATTAATATTCAGTGTTTTATTTCATGAATTAATATGCACTTTTTCATTTCATGTGTGATATTGTGATAATTTTATTTCTAAGTTTATGAAACTTATAATATAAACAATATACATGCTTTGGACGAGATATGTGTTTACGTTGTGTTTATTTTCTCGCGCTATAACGAGGGGATACTTTGTTTGCTTGGAAGCACGGGGTAGGGAAAATAAACACAGTCATGTTGAGAGATAAGACGCTGTTTACCAAACAGACAACACCGATACGCCGACAGAGCCTTAGACAAATTCAGGATACCTTAAGCTTCAGTTGTCTTTCATAATAACGCCTGGCAGACTTATGAGAGACATTGGAAAATGTCCAGACAGGCCCGCATCGACGTGACTGCAGAGAAAAACACGAATTCGCCATCATATGTTCCTTAGTTCTAGTTTAAACAAAAACATACACAGTTTATACAATATTAAACGTTTTTTTTCTGAATATCAGCAAAATATTATCTTCTTTTCGAGCGATGTTAATGTGTTACTATAAATCTATATTCACTTGAGATATAAGATATAAGATATATCCAAGGTAATTCATATTTCATACAACTGAAAAAGGACAGAAGATGTTCCCATCTGACAAAGGCATATACTAACATGTACAAGGCGATTGTACTGAACGGTACTGATATATACAGGCATGTGTAGTGACGCGTTTGGAGTTTTAAAGACACACAGACTGTCTGTTTTGTAATGCTGTATATTTCCTCGATTAATATCCCAAAATTATCTTTCTTAGTTATCATGGTTATATATAGTTAAATTATTCGCTTTGCAAAAATAACCTAAAGAAATCTAAATTTGAAAAATATCATTTCACAAAGTATCTTGTTAAATATAAACTTTGTAATAATTGGTTTTAACAATACAGCTTCAGTCATAGGAAACAAGCATATCGAATTATATAATGTAGAGTTGTTAAAAATAAAGAATTTTCCCTCAAGGGTTTAGCTGTCAAGGGTTATTTCCTGCTTGTAGCAATTTGCATTCAATACAAAGAAATATTCTTGGTGCATCTTTAGATTAAAGGTTAAAACATTAACGCAGTAATAATACGGTTGATATGTTTAACTATTCAATCATCGTAAAGAGTTGTAACTTTAATCAAACCTTGATGGCTTAATGCATCGAATGCATAAATAAAGTGTATTTAGATATTATGTAAAGGAATTAATTAAAAGTCGACGTGTAGATTTCAAGAAATAGAAGGTATGAAACCTTTTTCATAATCGTAAGAACAATCTGCAGAAAGCAGAGTCCCTTGTACGATTCCGACTGTATCATAAGCATGTGTTTATGAATCACTGTCAAATAGTGAACCTGAGTATATTCATTATACCTGCTGTATTCGTAACCTATCATAACATTCACAGATTTTTTAATTTATACTATTTTTATGTGTTGCGCGATTATTTTATACATAATTGCCGTAGAAAATATATATGTTACAAAATTAAGCGGTCGTCTTATCAGTTACATCGGAAATTATTTTAATTTCAATTTTATTGACCGGTTTTATAAGAATTTTAAGTAGATTATAAAACTTCTAGTGAAATGTCCTCTAGGTTTAATATCCACCTATATGTACGTCTTGATTTCAGTTCAATTACCATGCTCAATTCCCAGCTGATCCTGCCACAAATGCTGATGCCAATAAATCTAATTGGCTAGTGAATATTTGTTAATTATCTCTGCTAGATTTTCTACATATCTCCTTCATCTTGTTACAATTATAGGTATCCAGTAGCTACGCAGATCCCAGGAGAGCTTGAACGAATGTTCCGCCCAGCACTCTGGCACTATCAGGCTCTGATCTACATCTCCCCTGCTGATTGGCTGCTTGCTTCGGGGGTAACTGTCAATCATTCACGGTCAGCTGACAGTAGTATGACGTAATGACACCTGACAAGGGGCGTTGCTGGGTTACGAAGCAGTTTTATCTACACGTCCTTAAAGTATGCAAATTCTAATCTAAGGTTATGATAATTTGCTATAAAAATTTCCATCTGCAATGAAAAAGATATTAACTCTCTCAATAACACGTGCACTATTTGGTAGGAAGTAATAGTCATGTGTGTATTTCTCACTGCTTTCAATGCACAGGGAAAGTGTTAATGCATGTTATTGATATTCAAGTTTGTCATTGGAACATAAATGTCAGTGATTGTTGTTTGACGAATTAGCACCACACACTGCAACATACGTTACTTTTGTTTTCCTATTGAAAAGAAGGCATAGTAAACGGTCATTAAATTTTGGTAACATTTCAACTATTAAATGTTAGTTTCATAGCCAAAACACCTGTATCCATGCATCTTCTGGGTATGAAACTAAGCATGTATTTGGGAAAGTCAAGCTAAGAGAGTTTTGATGTATGGAGCAGTCGCATTATCATTGTAAACATATTGACAACTTAAATTATTTTAAAAATAAATTGTGTGATGTGAATGGAATTATGTCTTACAGCTGAAAGAAATACGCAGCCGTTAACGGTACAATCGTGTGTTTTAGCAGAACAAGTATATGTGGACTTTATTTGATGCTTTTTATGACAATTATATTTTTTTAAAGCCAAAAAGCAATGTATTCCATCATCGATGCGTGTGACACTTGACATCAAACTAAAAAAAAAAATATGTTCTACTCTTTCATACACACAAGATGAAACATTTCTTATAATATCTTCTATACATTTAGTCCTGATAAGTTCACAGTAAAATGTTGCATATTTATAAGTGTGGCGAGAATGACCATTATCTTGCATACTTTCAATTGAAGCTATAATTACCAGTATTTTACATACATATTTTCATAATGACATATTTATAGACATATCAAATACATGTAGTTTCATATAAAACTAGATGTACCAGTATGCATTGTTATTTGCAATAGTGTACATGTTATGTTTGATAAAGCGATGCTGTTCCTAGTATTATAAAGAAAGGTCTTATGTATTTCAAATGTACCCAACAGACAACACAAGAAATTGGTCATATATTTCTTGAACTTAAAATTGTATTGTGTTATATCTGAATGATTTTGGTCTTGAAACTTTTAAAGATCTCCTGCTTATAACTTCTTTATCAATTCACTTTAACTTACCTGAAGAACTTATGCACTAAAGATACTGGTCTGAGGTATGTACTATACACGTGTCATATGTAGACTGTATATATGCAACGGCTATCAGACACATATGAATTTATTATTTCTATGTATGAATTCGTTTCCATTTGATGACATGGTTTATAAAATATATCCCACAATGAAGTATTTATCTGTTTTTATTTTTGTGTTAGTTATCTTCTGTTAGACCGGACGTGCACTATTATACATGCATCGGAAATACAGATCTCTCCATGGGTATTCAAGGCAGGAATAGATCCAACTCTGCCTATACTGGTCGAAAGAGGCGACTAAATGGATTGGGTGGTCAGGTTAGTTGGTTGATTGCATGTCAACGTATATCGATAAGGGATGTTGCTCATACTATCAATCACTGGTGGTTTGTTCGATCCCGACTAGATTTTTTATCTTTAATTGGTCGCCGTTTTATTAATATGAAATATTACGGCGTTAACTAACAAACAAACAACCACAAATTCAGTGCCTCTGGATGATGTACTTGGAATTCTGTAACATTAAAAGTGTAGCAGCACGTGGTTACCACCTTCAACGTATTATATAGATCCATTTGTACGGATACTTACAAGACTTTAAAGACAGGAATATTAAGAACATGATATAATCATTGATTAAACACTGGATACTGCCCTTGTAGTACACAATTGAGAGGGTGAAGATGACACAGGGAACTCGAAACTTCAAAGAGCAGCCTTGTGAATGTCAGAATCAAACAAAGGATTTTTTTATTAGCGTTTTCTTTCAATTGAAATAGGAAACTTTTTTATCACGCTGTATCATGCGTCAGTTTTGGACTTTAACACATGATAATAAAAGCGACAAAACCCTTTCCATAGCCACATGAAATCATAAGTAAAACTATTCATCCATTTCTGCATCTCCGAAACGTGCGACTGTTCCATTCTGACCATTTGGTAATATGATTTCAATTATATTTACATATATATTCAAATTTATATTAATTGGTATATATGACTTGAATATCTTCCGCATACAACGCAAGATAACGAGCATATGGAATTACATATAATTGAATTTAGGGCACTAGGTGTTTGTTGACATTGGATATATTGTCTTCACATTTACACGTCCGTTTGAGCCTTATCCATTCAAGTCTTCATATGTCCCCTTGTATTAAACATGCTCCTAAAAAACATATTTCAATTTTCCCAAGTACGAAAATTGCTCACATTCGTTTACATCAAATCAATATGTTTCCTACGTGATTTAAAGCATTCTATTGATCGTCTTAATGTCATTTCGTATTCGGCATTGTTTAGGCAGAATATATATTTTAATATATATTTTATATTCTGCCACCTGTGGGTCAGGATACGCTCACTTTTCGCGAATATCATCATCACTTTTTGATAATGATTAATAAACAAATGCTTATGCTATACTCGTACAACGGATTTCTTTTTATACAGAGATGTCTTATGGTTATGGAAAGGGTTTTGCCGGGTTTTGTTTTATTCACAAAACATCCTAAAATTGTCAATAATATGGCATCAATCTTGACAAATTGTGATGAATAGCGAAAATACGTGTGAACATATTAACCAGAGGAATTTTCCTACTGTAACTATAGGTAAAATGGACACAAACCTGCTCCCAGTACAAGACTTGTTCAAACAATTGACATCAGACCAAAGGCCATACTCCACGTTTAAAGATGCCTTTTCCAGTTAGTGGATTTGTAACCACGATAATTTGCTGTATCAAATGGTTTAACATATATAAATGTCTCTTAAACCATTACATTTACTGTGGGTCTCCTCGACGTTCTCGCAACGGTAGGCGTGTTTCACTGCCCAGTATTTACGGGGGAATCTTTATTAACGAGTTGGATGATGAAATATGGCTTCCTACAACAGAATATTTGCGATAAGTCCCACACCGACTTTGAAACTTATCTTGCTTATCTGAGAAATCTTGACACTATGGTAATTTATTTCCTATAATATAACGAAAACTATGTATATTCACTGTGTTACATCTTCATTTTAAATGGGAACGGACGAGGGTGTTTAGTGCGAATTAAATTAAACGAACTGCATGTCTTATTTGGTGAATATACTTGAATACGAGATATTTTAAATGTAAACTGAAATGTTATATATTGCAAAGAAGGCGGGAGGCTGGGAGATGTCGACACTGATTGTAACCGAATAGGTACATAATTCGAAAACACCGCCTGTTTATTTTTTTTACTTATTATGAATCTAATTTTAAATGTAATTTTCTTAATTGTAAAACTAATTTGATATTTTCAATTTGAGAAAAAGTGGTGTAATGAAATCATTACATTAGCATACTATCTTAAACCATTGTGCTTGGTTATGTCTCTACTGCTGGGTTATGTCTGTATTAGACGATTAGAATGAGTTATTGTTTTTAAAAAACGAACAGAAATGCTTTCCTATCAACTATTTCTATGAGCGTTGTCAAAATGCGACTTTTACATTTCTTTGAGAGTGCATTGGGGTTTATTTTGGGTTCATTCGTGACAAATACTTTATGCTTACTCAGAGCGGGAATATTTTCTTTGGACATCTCAAAAAGTAGTGTTGTGTCTCAAAGGTTTCAGTTGAGGAATATCATTTGTTTGAAACTCCCAAGGTTTCAAAGACCCGCGTTCTCAAAAATGAAAAATGTACACAATTTGTTACGTCCCTCTTTTAAAACATTTACATGTGTCTTAGTCCGAGCAATCGAAATGCCCATACGTTAACTGCATGAGATAGGTACATTATTGTATTCCCAATAAAACACCTGTACACTTTCTGCATGGAATGGTTACCGCTGCACATGACCTGACTGTTTGACATGACATAAACAAAACTTAAAAGATCAGCTAATTTCAAAGATACTTATCTTAACGTTTCTTCCATGATGTTCATATGGTATTGCATCCTTCACGCCTTATATATCCATAACGTACTGTTTTTATAAACGTAATATTTACATTTAATTTCTTAAAAATGCAACTCACACGTGTGGACGCGATATGTATATGGGCACTTGTCGATGTATAAAGTGTGGTCGGTGAAATCAGCACCTCAATAAAGATATGTAGATCAACGCGCACCTGCTCAATTGCAATAAAACTGATAGAACGGGCAATCCCGCACCTCGTCGGAATGCAATATCTGGACGACTTGTGATACGGGTACACATAAGATTTTTTACGTTTTTTGTTACTCAGACATGAAAGCAAGGGTGTCTGTCTATTTTGAAAATATATGAAATGCGAACCCCGAAAACAAATTAATCCACTTTAGATTATGCCTCTTGGAATACTTGCTTCTTGTGTGTAATTACATTGAAAGTAGGTGGTTGCCATGGCGACATCTGATCACGTTTTGCAGCCTCACTTGAAACAGGATACCAAAACATACACTTGTTGAAAACTAGCCTATAAAAGTTTACTTAAAACATTGAACATTATTTCTTTTCTCTATACATCTGTTTACATTAAATTAATTCGCTGAAACTGACTCGCCTGTTGACATGAGAAGAAGTTCATGACAACCCCAGTCGATAGAAGCGATATCCTTTTGATTCTCAAATTCGGTCAGTGTCGAAGTAGAATTCATTAAAAGTTTGCTCTGTTAATATATTCATATATTCAAAGGGTTATTTTCCTGCACTCTCACAACATAATGAAGCAAACGTGTGTCCATTGCTTAAAATTGAAATTATTATGATATCATATGACGCATTGATCATATATGTTAGAGCAAATGTACTTCGAAAGATCAACGCTGAAAGTAAAATAGCATCTGAATAATTTAATGTGTTTCAATGCATCTAACTTTCTCTAAACAGCTCTCCTAATTGATAGATTGGTAGAACTGGTATTTTGTTTATCAATTACGTACCTTTTGGTTTGTTTTCTTTCTTGTCTAGTTCCGGTGTTATACATGTTGTGACTTGCGTCGAAGGGTTACACATAGAATTATATGAGTCCGTTCCCCCTGTCGTGTCGAACGCGCCCCTCCCCGATTGAGGGGGAGAAGGGTAAGAGGGTGATAATGTAGAGGTATTGATTGAATAGTCTTTTGAAGAGGACATAGAAAGGTAAGACCCTTGTGATCTGTTCAGCTGCCGGTCTGTGTTGACACTATGGGGTGAATAGGTACCGTGTACCAATCCCCAGTCATTGGAATATGACCCATACCCAAGATTACCAGAGTTCAGTCCTACACCACTGTGCATGCAGTCAAACGGACTTGGCCTCTGTAGATACCGTCCCATGCTATAGTTGCAGGACGCGGTGGCCATCCCGGGAACACTTGTCCTTGCTCCTATCCGCTCCGGACCTTCCATCGGGTGCTCTGGTTGAGGAATTAACCCTGCCTCAAGCACAATTCCAAAATGCGATTGATCCCTTTTGCAATGGTTGTCAACGTGGGCTAGTAGCAATACCCTGCTATATTCCACAAGTGAAGTAACGTCGGTGGAAGACGGAGTCTCGCGTTAGGAAGAAAAACACTACTCCAGCTGTGAGCTGAGTCGTGATACACACTAGCACTGACAAGCCATCGTAGTGCGGAAGAATATCTCTTACAGAGGTTGTGAGGCGTCCCGTCAGCGCCTCTAGGACACGGAAGTGAAGAAGGCTAATCCTTGCGTCCCGTACTCCCCCTCCTCAGTGCCCCCTCCACGTGCATCTCAGATGGCTGGCCCCTCCTCCAATTTCTAGTCATTAAAAGTGTCAAGTAACGCTCTAATGTCATTACCAGATTTCTTTCCCTTCGCTTCGACCACCATAAAATCACGACCTATTGTTTTCTCAGCACAATCTTTAGCTCACGTTTGTATCTTCACAAAATCTAGCTCACGTTTGCGTGTTTCCACATGTCAAATGTTTACGAAAATAGGTCACTCTTTTGTTATTGAATCATGTATATATGATATATTTTTTCAGACAAGACTGTGTTTAAGAATAAACGTGAAATAAACATAATTTATATATTGACGTAAACAGAGAAAGTAAATTTGAGTATGCTAGTAAGCACAAGGGTAAGCAAGAAGAAAAATTAGGAGTACCATGTAACTTCCTTGTCAGTAGGAAAGAAAAAGAAGGAGGAGGAGAAGAAGAAGAAGAAGAAGAAGA